GCTGAAACAGTTCAAACTAAGATGCTGAGGAGACTGACTCAGGTGGACATTGTTGCAACTCCACACATTACTGGCTTATGATCCAGCATTGATTTAACTTGGAATAAATCTATACAGCTTTTTTCCTCCCTCTGAGGCTTTTGCAGCATGAGAAGAGCAGTCTGGTGCAAGTTTGTAAATAATCAGACTTGTCTTTTATCTATATTAGGGCTGTGGGCATTGCACAGATGTGCAGTAACAGATTCTGTCTGCCATGAACAGCCAAAGGCCAGGAGAAAGCAATAGGGAGGTTTAAGTGCTTTGCTTAAAGCATCTTGGCAGGTACTCCTAGTTCTAGCTCAGTGCCAGTTTTAAAAGGACATGCTGCTCCTTTAGGGTCACGCTGTAGGATTAGTGAGGACCAGGCTACTGAAGTGAAGTACCAGGAATTAGCTGCGAAGGAAGATCTGGGGCCATCTAGTGACCTTCCAGTGCAAACCTTTGTACTTCCAGTGCTCCCAGTTCTTAATAAAGACCTGTGGGGCACTTTTCCTCCCTCCTGCTGACTGAGCAAGTCCCCAGCTCTGCAGGGAGTCTGCTGGGAGGCAGAGCGGCACCCTGTTGTTAGTGATGGGTTTTTTCTTCTAGAAGCTTATTTAGGGACTGATGCATGTAACCACCTCCTTTCATCTAGGATCAAAGGAAAGAATGACCCATGCTTTTATGGAATAGATAGCCGAAACAATTGGAGCCATCACCAAAAACATGAGCTGGATAGTTGAGAAATGGAGCAGTGTATGTGGAGAGGTTTTGTGCTCTGCTGTTTGCCAGTGTGCGTGAATGAGAGGAAGAGGGAGCAGACACAGGCAGGCAAACTGCAGAAGGTGGCATGGCAAGCACCAGAGCCAGCTTTAAGTGGGAGAGGGACGGAGAGCTGGTCTGTAGGAGCCCTGCTGTGTGCACATCCCCCTCAGCATGTGCCTTGGCACCATGTGTCCGGCCCAGGTGTTTTGCCTAGATTTCCCAGGGGTCCAGGCAATCCTTCCTCTGTATTATTACCAAGTACAAGCATGATAATCTGGGCTCTTATGTATGCAGCAGATTATAAAGCATTTATGGACCTGCTACAAAGTACCCAAATCTGCCAGTGCCTACAATTAAAAAAGGCATTTGAGCAAATCTGGGTGTTTGTGACTTTGCTTATTGCTGGAAATGGTCTCCAGTTCCAGCTGTTTGCCCTGCAAGTGAGGGAGACATTTTCTTTACGGGACACTGGTGCCAGAAATATCTTGCCTTTTCCAGCTTTGGCAAAATAGCCTGAGAACCTTGGACATCAAGCAAAAACATCCTCTCCTTTTCATCTCTTCTTTTTTGTTCTTTTTAACTATCTGCATGTGGAAATCTGAATATGGAGGAGAGAGCTTCATCTGCCTAAGTCCTATGCTAGAAGTCACCTGCTAACTGTGGTAATCAGCCCCTTTGAGATGAACCCATCCTTGCAGGCTTTTGTGAGGGAGAGCTCGAGGAGCACAGTGAGGAGGAAGGGTGAGACCAGCAAAGGGCTTGGCAAGAGCTCGCCCGTATTGCTGTTCAGGCTCTGCGGTTGTGGCCCTTGCAAGCCTTCCTGCTTGGAACCGGCCTGGATTTGATCAGCAGCCCAAAATGGGAGAGCCAGGGATGTGTGTTCAAGTGTTTCATTTGTCATTTCAGGCTTTATTCCCTGCTCCTTCGTTTCTGCTTTTTTATCTTAATCCTGTGCTGCACTCGGTGCTTCCCAAGAGGCCTTAGCTGGAGCCTGAGTCGTGGGGACGATGGTGGGAGCGTGTGGTGGTGGGGAGTCCTTGGTTTGCCGGGAGGAAGTCGGTAAGCCTTCCCTGGTTACTCCTGCTCGCCTTCGTGTCTGCCCTCC